GTGTGGGCGAGGCGTGGTGTGGTGTGGTGTCAGTGTGGGCGAGGCGTGGTGTCAGTGTGGGCGAGGCGTGGTGTGGTGTAGTATCAGTGTGGGCGTGGTGTGGTGTGGTGTCAGTGTGGGCGAGGCGTGGTGTGGTGTCAGTGGGCGAGGCGTGGTGTGGTGTAGTATCAGTGTGGGCAGGGCGTGGTGTGGTGTCAGTGTGGGCGAGGCGTGGTTGTGGGCGAAGCGCGCATGGTGACGGGGGAGTCTGGCAATGTAAAGCGGTATGATGTTACGGATGAGGAGGGAAGTAGCAGCTCTGGACACGGGTGAGGAGGGAAGTAGCAGTTCTGGACACTGATGATAAGGGAAGTAGCAGTAGTGCCTTAAAGTGTGATGAAGGTGTGTGTGTGTGTGTGTGTGTGTGTGTGTGTGTGTGTGTTGAACATGTTAACTCGTCCTCATTAACGTGCTCACACACTGATCAGCGCTGTTAGCATCAAGGGGTAAGTTATCATGCACACAACTTTCATACTCACGTAATTAATAGCGTGCGTGCTATTGGTTTATGGTTCATAAATAATGTAAATATTATATAAATCTTATTGTCATACAACTTTCCATGGCCTCCAACACAACGGTATTTTGTGAGGTAACTCTATATTAGGGTGATGTTTCCTTCTAATAAGCGAGGTAGACGAAGAAAACAAGACTATGTACAGTATATTGGAAAGGATCTTGGGTAGAAGGTCATAACTGTACCCGAGATCTTGTTTATCTGCCATGATGTACGTGGTTTTGTATCATTGCTGTCAAATAAATGTGTACAATTCTGTCACAGAATTGTACCTGACACATTCCATAGCATGTTTAAGGACGCGGATGTGTGCTGGGTTAAGATTCGTACTCCGAGGACATATATCAGCATTGACGGAGGCGCTCCACCACCAAGGCTTGTTATTACGAAAGGTGTAGGGTGTTGTGTCCACGAGGCCAGGACACGTGATTTTTTTTCCTGAGGGCTTTCGTCATTTTGAACAAACGGCTCTGTCGCAGTGTTTGAAGCGCGGCACCACTGTACACTCCGTAAGAAAGAGAGAATAAGAGACGATCATTCATGCTTGGCTTAATATTGCATATCCTAACGTAATAGATATTAATACAAACAAATAATAACCTAACCTTACCAGCACGGCCAAGATAGAACGAATTCTTGCTACCACCAGCTGATTGTACAGTGGTGCCGTGCTTCAAACACTGCGACGGTGCCGTTTGTTCAAAATGACGGAAGCCCTCAGGACAAGGCTAGCGAAACCTGTTCTGTGTCTACACCAGTTCTTGTGGTGGTGTTTGGTGGCCCGACAGGGTGAGGACTGTAGGTGTGGTGTTACTGTTGTCTCCAGAGTAAAGTGTCATCGTCCCTAAATTTTCATTTGCATTTTGTTGCATCAGAAGCTTTTTTCATTATAATTCAGACTAAGTCAGTTACTCACTTGCCTACTGAGAGAACTTTTCGCAGTAGTACATCGTATGACGCACATAAGTCGCCGATAAATTTATTATTATTGAAAGTGAAGGTAAGTTCTTAGGCCTGGCGACCCGTTACAGGCAGTGTAGATCCAGCACATTGTAAACTTAGTCTTTTTCAGTACACAAGATGGCCGATGCTGGTCCTGCTCTCGACCGCCTCCACACAGCGCTGAATGGCCCAGTGGCTCCACCGCTTGGCTTTGAACCTAAAATTCATAAATCACTTTCCCAACAATAGAGTTAAGTACCCATTCACACCTGGGTGAACTGGAAGTTTCCTGGGTGAGAACCAGCGACCCTAATGACAAGAGGTGAGAGCTGTAACCCTTCGGCCGCCGCACCCCATTTATTACTGAAATTATGTCTAATTTTCATAACAAATTAAGACCATCATCATGAAGAACAATAAACGTCATAATATTACTGGATATAAACTAAAATATTCACCGATGAAGAAGATAGTTTGAAAGCTAAAACTTATTGTCTTCACGCTGACATGAAAAGAAAGTGTGCCCTATAAGCATGACTGCCCGTTAGGGACAGTGTAGCCAGTGCCGAATTTAGACCTGTGGAGGCCCATGGGCAGCCTCTTTGTGGAGGCCCCCCTCATTATAACTACCCAAGAGGGTGGGGTGGCGAGTGAAGCGAGCCTAAACATCTGGGAGTTCCGGAGGGCGCTGTAAGCCCCCCGGGAAAATTTTGAAATTTGAACACTTCTTTGGAGAATTTTGAAGCCATATGCAGTTATATTGAGGAAATTAGAACATTGAGAAGTTTTTAATTAACTCTATATTTATTGATAGTGTACAAATTCCCAACACACACACACACACACAAAAGTGAGACATGACTGGAGTCATTCATGTGGTTTCAAGTCGACCAACCCTGATATAGCTACTCCCGTACATGTGGAGGCCCCTGGGCAGCTGCCCACTTTGCCCACTCCTGAATCCGGCCCTGAGTGTAGCACACTGTATACAAAGCCTTCGGTACATAAGGCAGCATGTGCAGTGCACTTCACTCGATCGCATTCACTTCCCTAAGTAGTAAACTGAAGTACCCATTTACAACTGGGTGAATTGGGAGTGTCCGGAAATCGAACCACCGACCCCAGGATCAGGAGGCGGGTCCCGTATTTACATGTACTTGACTGTCGCGCTTTTCTCACTTATGTTTGTCTTACATCTCATAACGAGGAATGCTTCACTTTTCTACCAGGCCTCTTTGGTAGTTGTAGCATTCGTAAATATGACTAATTTTGTGACAAGAGGTACCGGTATGGCCAGCATAAGGACAGAACCAGACAATGTGATATAGTCATGGCCAGAATTAGGCTAGGATATAGACACATCTGGCAAGTTAGTGGCGCTGTACCCATACCGGAACACTCAGTATGTAAACTTTGTGATAAACCTTTAAAGCATACACTTGAACATTATATTATATTTTATATTTGAATGTGACACTGTCATAGACTTCAGGCCACCTGGCTTATTGTATCATGAACTATGTAATTACTACATTGAATCAGGAATGCTTGAGGACATTCTTGCTGTCTATCCAAAATTTGCTAGCCCACACTGATTAGTCCTCAAATAGAATATGGCTTTTGCTGTATATGAACCTCTGTCCTGCATGGCAGTGAGAAGTGATAGCACCCTCAAGTGTCAAGACCTGACTGAATTACTCAGAATAGTCAAACTGTACTCCAAGCCTTGCCAATAAATTTGTTAACCGTAAATGCTTCATTTTTACTGAAGAATTTACATTTTTTTAGGGAGTGTCGTTCGTATTGTTGAAATCGCCTCATGTGGCCTCACAAGAGCGTGTTTATGTCGTGGCTCACAACATCCAGAACACAGCTACAGTGATTGGTGGAGCATTATGTAATTTTATATCCATATATGTTATTTACTTTTTGATTATGTATTTTATTCTAATGTGTGTGTATATATGGAGTGTTACCTGTAACCTTGTGTGTAAGTACCTACAGTATATCCCCTCAGCTGCCAGGGACTCTCTCCTCCCTCACCCACTTTCCACTGCCCTTGTTAGGGTTCCAAGAGCTATCCTTCTCCTTCCCACTTCCTCACACACCACGAGCCACACGATGCCCTCAATATTAATGCCTCATTGTGAGCCCAGGGTGTAGCAAGAGTGTGTTCAGAGCAGCAAGGTATCAGAACCATCATTAATGTTTTATCATCACGGTCATACACCGCTACTTTCGTCACACGTAACGTGTGTACTAATGGAGAGTACCAGTTAGTATGCTGAGGACTAACGTGTGTCGCCGGTACTCCCAAGATGAGAACATTTTCATGGTATAAGGCACGTTAGAAGCCTTAATGGGAACATACTGGGATCATCCTGGTTTTGTTAACTTCCTTAATATTAGGATCTGACACCAATAATATAGATACATTTCAAGTTACAGTTTATGAGGAATAGGTAATTATTCTCATCTTATTAACTGACCTGAAGGTATGCAAGAGAAACCCCTGTTTACCCGACATGCAGTGTCAAATTTACCACTGGCTTCATAGATTTGCCATAGACAAGACCACCTTATGAAATGATAACAGCGGGAATACTTCTTTTAAACGTCTCCACCATAGGATGAAGGGCAGTGGTGGAGAGCCAGCCCACACCACAGCCTCCCAAACAGATGGATAATACTGTGTTAACCAAATACGGAACTACACATTGGCTCTCCCATATATGTTGGTATCACGGGACCCACCAACACCAGTCAAAGACCCTGAGTGAGTGGGACCACGTTCAGCTCCTCGACTACAAGAAATCGGACCTTGACCCTCGAGTATGACTAAGCAATGACCGACCTGTCCATCTTTGTACCATAGTGGGTGTAAAACGTATTTACTTAGTGAAAATACTTTACTTATATATGTGGATAAATTGTGTAAGTTGTGTGTTTGTATGTTAGCGGGGTTTTTTTTTCTTAATTTTCATATAAACTTCGTAAGGTTTATATCTGGGCGTGGGAGCTTAATATATTTTGTTGGTTGGTTGAAGTTGAAAGTCGAAGTTTGACATCGAATGCTACCTGCACGGGGGGGGGGAGGTTAGGTTAGCGTTAAGGTTGTTAATCTTAAGGTGAAATAAGCTGGGGCCAAGCTTCATGTTACCTTTTTTTATAGGTTTTCTGTCTTGTTTATCTCGTCTTGTAAAACTCGTCTCAATGGCTTTCAAAATGTTGTTAGTAGTATAGGCAAGATTTTTAACTTCCATTCGCACTTTGCTTGAAGTGGGTGAGGCTGATGTGTCTCAAGTGCTCCCACCAACACTTTGTTGTCATGTGAATTATCTGTTTAGAGTATAGTCTGCATGATTATCTCTAGAAGCCCGTTTTCTGCCATTTACTATGTGTGTGTGAGGAATATTACATGTTCTATTTATACAATACATACATACATACATACATACATACACGTTAATTTTTTATACTTTATACATTATTTTCTTTCCAGAAGTTGGTGTGGCTGGGAGTCCCCATTTACTGAAGTCAACACCACCACGACCTTGTGAGTTACCAAGTTTTATTTTTATCTCAGTGATGTAGCGCTGTGCTAACTTCTGAGTGACTTAGTGCTGTAATGAGTGGCGTAACGCAGCACTGGTTGACGTAACGTTAGCATTGAGTGACGTAACACAGCACTGAGTGTCGTAGTACAGTACTGAGTGACGTAACACTGCACTGATAGACATAACACAGCACTGAGTGACGTAACACAGCACTGAGTGTCGTAATACAGTACTGAGAGACATAACACAGCACTGGGTGACGTAACACAGCACTGAGTGACGTAACACAGCACTGAGTGACGTAACACAGCACTGAGTGACGTAACACAGCACTGAGTGACGTAACACTGTACCTTGGTAATGCAGTCCTCACACATGAACAAAATACTGTATCACATTCGTCAGTCACTCACAGCAATGAAATAAATCTATCATGATCTTGTTTACCAACACCTGATACACTGTCACACACTACGGGGGGCCTCTGGCTCTTCAAAAACACAACCCCTGGTTACTGCACAATAGAAAGTTGTGCGGACAATGACCTAATTGAAAAAAAAAATTATCACACTAACGAACAATTTGCGAAATTGAAAATTTTAAAATTCGAGGACATTAACACCTACTGCTGTGCCCGATTTGTTTACAAATGTGTCAATCACTTGATTGACAACAATTATTTCCAGTTCTAGAATAATCAGAGATACAACTTAAGGCACCCAGAGCTACTAAGACCACCAACCCCCCACCATGCGCTCCTCTCAGTCCCAGACCTCCATAAAATATCACGGTGTGAAGGTGTGGAACAACTTACCCCCACCCATCCGAGCAAAGACTACGCCCCCTTCCTTTAAAAGTTTAAATCATCTCTTAAACAATATGTATTGTATAAGTATTAATATTTTTTGTAATACCTTCTTTATATTCATGCCTTTATTGTATAACCCAAACCGTTTTATCAGAAATTATCATGTAGAGAGATAGAAATTACCATTGCAATAAATATATTTTCCAACTACTAGACATGATACTGACAGTTCTGTCCTCTTGTTCCACCTTAATACAACCCATGGTGTACTGCTTCCCTCCCTTATCATATTTATGTATATCAACTCCACTGTAAAGTGTGTATATACTTATAATATAAATGTAAATAATAAATAAAATAAATAGATAACGAAGTGATAACCGTGGTAACATTCTGATATGTTCTTATTACCACCATGTTACGTATACATGATACTGAATGTTACATAATACTTCCTTGAGATAAATGTACAGTATATATCAGGTACCTACAGGAGAGTTCCGGCTCTCAACTGGCTCAGCCATGTTAATATTGTTATTATTATCGACTCCGTATCTGTGTTCTTCTGACTAGATAAACTGTTTCAATATCAATAACTCAGGGATGTATTTGGTGGAGTGGGTGGGAGCTCAGAAGACCAATACACATTAATATTGCAGATATACAAACAATATACATAGACAGTGAAGGTATGCAAACTACATACATAAACAGTACATATATGCAAACAATATACAATACATAGACAGTACAGAATACAAGCAGTGGTAAACAGCACATCTATTTGACCTAGGTTAACCCGACAAAGGCCAAGAGAGGGATGTGTGTGTGTGTGGCCTTACCCATGTATACTAAGTTTTAATTTCAATAATCCGTTGGTAATTGTGTGAGTGAGTGAGTGAGTGTGGGGTAACCCAGTAGTGTGTTCCACTAGAGTACAGTACTAACAAGTTCCTGTGTATTCCCCCCACCCTTGGTCTTGTTAGCAGACAGGTGACGTACAAGGAGGTGGTAGTGTTGTGACTAAGACAAGACTTCCTGGCTGTGGTGGATACAGTGTGTTTGTTCTTCTCCCGTGGTAATATAATAGAGAATCTATATTCAGTTACTGCACGGTGTCGATACAAAAATTTCATCATTTTCCTCAAGCTTATGACTATAAAGGAATATAATTTTTGCTCTTATTCCAGATTACTACCGTTATGTCATTGTTCATTTTTTTGAGCAGGGAAAGTGGGTCTCAACTTTTTTTTTTAGTACACAAAGAGGCTGAAGGAGCACTGCAAATCACTTATATTATCAAACCTATAAAGTTAGGCTTACACATGTACAGCTGAGTGAACCTAGGTGTGTCCTGCACGTGAACCATTTTTTTTTTTTTGCTTTGTGTGAAGACTGGGGTCACTTTTTTTCATTTATTCAACGCTTTTGTCGTGTGTGTGTGTGTGTGTCGCCAGTACTGTTTATGCTTATATGTTTCATTATATCCCTCGCCTAGCGGCCTTCATACACCCACTACCCTTTTACGTCGCTCAACACTCTAGTTCTATAATGCTGTGTAGTTGTTTACATTGTAGCAATAACAATGGCCGCCGTGCTGCCTCGCCCTCCACTGAACGAGACACGCCAAGAAACCACAATAAATCCCGGCTTTTATACTTAACCTTGGAGTACATTACAGTAGAGGAGGTATAATATGGCTCGGAACACTGTAGGATTTTTTTTTAAAGTTCATTTTATAGTATTCAGGTAGCTATATTATTCCCCAGGTGCTATACTTGTACATCGTAATATATTGAGGTACTGTACATATCTAAGGTATTTTGGGGAAGAGGAAGTGGATGATTGTTGCTATTACTGAAAAACTTCCATGAAAATAAACGTATCAAGAAGCATATATAATTTAGACTCCTGAGATGAACGTTAACTTTGAGTTACTGTTGCAGAAAGTAGTTTATTGAGGTTGAATTAAGAAAAAATCTGAGAAACCCGACTTCTTAGTAGTGTGAAGGGAGGAAGGTATTCTTTCAGCCGGAAAATGCAGTTAAGAGGTGCAAGTGTCAATGAGTCATTGTGGAGCCAGACGGGGGGCGGGCAGGTCGACCTATCTACTGGCTCTGTGAAGGTCAACACGTCTGATGCATCGCCGGGGTAGTGATCCAGGAAGCTGACGACTACAGCAGAGGAAGTTGGGGAAATTATATAAAAAAGGGAACACGTGACGATTAGACACCCTAACGCTACCTGGGGATTAATTGAGTTATGTTAGGTTAAAGCTAGGTAGGAGGCAGCTGCCATATGGCATCACGAAAATTGTGACCAAGTCCCAGGTTGTTGATCTGACTTTCTGCCTCATTTACACACAATTGCAGGGTCTCAATTGTTTCTCTTACTGGACAACACAACATACATATAGCGTTTCTCACTATTTTTTTTCATTCTTGTATTTCTTTATAGTTCTTTACTATTATTATTATTATTATTACAGTGTTATTAATATTATTGTTATCATTATTATTTTATTTTACTTTTTATTATAAATTGTATTTACTATGAATAATTATTACATTTTCGCCTCCCAGGTCCCGATGTGGATCAGTGACCTGTGCCCAGGTGCGCTAATCCCCGTAAAAAAAAATTTTTAGGTTAGCGTTAGGGTGGTTGATATTCAGGTGAATTAAGCTGGGTTGTCTAACCTTAACTTAATACAACAGAGGACGGCGTGGATTGACCAGAAATAGCATTGGGGGAGAAATAGACATGTGAATTGTTATAATGATTATTTTTGTTAAAACAGAATGTGAAATGAAATCACTTGAATACTACGCGGAAACTAGAATCTTCATTTTCTGTAATGGAGGAAATGGAATCGGTTAGATTGCTTAAAATAATAAAATTGACAAAAACAAAGGAATGAGATATAGAAAACACTTAAGTTTTATATATAACGGTTGGGTGTTGTGTGCCGCTGGTGTGTGACGTGGAGGGACATTTGTGGGTAACCCCAGGTTTTGTCTCGTCATGGTGTGGGGGAACCCTGCTTGTGTGCCTCCTTCCCAGAACCTAAGGCCACCTGACTCACACAAATAACTGATGATTTTCAAAAGCCACACATTGAATATTGACATTCTGAACCTGTGATTTATGTTGCTGCAACGTAAAACTTGTACTGTGTTTACTGACGTTTATAGAATAGTTAGTTTTCTTCATCCACGCAGAAGTGAGGTGCGAGGGGTGAAGAGGATGGGGGATAGGGACAAACATGTAGGGAAATAATCTAAGGTTTCCTAATCTTAATGGGATTCCTTCTGTTTATACATTGAATAATATATAGGAGCAAACTAACTTCCTAAGACCGCGAGTGTGAAAAACATGATTAAAAGATCAGTTGTTGATGAATCGTGGTGGTGAAGGCTGGGGCCTACGAGATGTGTTTTGACAGGAATGCTTAAAAGAGAATTATTATAACGGGTTGGATTAAAGATGTGTATGTGTTTGGTGTGTTGTAAATGTAGCGAGAAGGAGATTAATAGAGGTGCGGCACACAGTGCATTGTGAGGCAGGAAGTGCTGAACAAGAGACCAACCCCATACCTGACCGTCTCCATCACCAGGCAGACTGGCAGAGGTCCTCCCTGGCTAGTGTGTAAATACTTTACACTCGGTTCTCATTTTGCGAAGCAGAAGAGAACATCGTGGAATGTTGTTTAACCTTTGTGTATTAACGTTGATTGAACAGTTGTGAGCGTGTACATCGTGGTCGTGTGTTCACATGTAGAGGTACTGTATGTGTGCACAGGGAGGGAGTGGCCGCCATGACTCAATCACCACCACCAGTGGACGGTCGTTTGGGCCACGGAACGTTTAGGCCATGGGCCACGACCCCCGGACGTTTGGTCCACGGGTCAAAAATTTCCTGATTGTAAATTATAATCCCCTAATACAACCTTCAGGTCAGGAACTTTTTTTGGTTGGGCTAGGTTTGTATTTCTTATGATAAATTGTGATATATGATATCAAATAAACTGTGATATTTCGCATAATTATGTGATTATCATGTTGTTATTTATATTACTTTGATCCATGGCCCAAACGTCCGTAGCCCAAATGTCCCGTGGCCCAAACGTTCTACGTCCACTACCTCTTTTATCTCCTCACCACATAGTAACTATCTCTGCCATCCCCCAAAGAC